TATCGCATAGTTTAGAATATTGTAATTTATAGGTAAGCTCCCAGTATAGCGTAGGCAGGATTTACATGAGGAAATCATTTTAATAATAATAAATAATTTAAATAATTCCGTTAACAGTTTTTGTATGATTGGTTGTAACAAATTATAAATTAATAATTTAATTTATATCTATTATTAAAAGTTACCAACTATTTATTGACTCTGTGTATTAAAATGGTTGTAAATCAGATCTTTTTTATAAAATAAAAAAATTTCAGGGTGGGTCAGAACCCTAGAACCCTACCCCTGCGAACACCACTGAATACTACCCCACACATAGCACTATATACAGATTATATAACATTTTTGTACAAACTGCAGTGTTTATAGCAAAGGAAACATATTTTTGTATTAGTTTACTTCTTTGTACRCCTGATCAACTCATAATTAATTCAATATTTAAATATGGTTCATAATTTATATCGTGATTCTTAGAATATAATGCCAAATTGTGCGTGTGGGCTTGCCTGAAGCGGATTTAATACCGTGATTTTCTGCCTATGTCGAACACATGCACGGCAGCCGTGTTCTTTGCCAATATTGATATGGTGAAAAGGAAAATATAGAAAATTCTGAAAACATATTTGAATTTTTTGTTAAGTCTGCTTGAAATAGATATTCCCACATTTTTTGTTGTTTTGATTTTAACTTCTCCAAAAATTGAAGTATTCCAATTTTTTAAATATCTATAGCCTTGTTTAAAAAAACAGTTTTTGGAATACTCAGGATACTATCAAAACGTGAGGAAATCRATCTCAAGAGTCTTGACAACAAGTTCAAATTTGTTTWTAGAATTCTTATCATTTCTTAGATCGATCGGTATGTTTGGCAAAGAACACGTTTAAAATCCTATATCACGTTTGTGTTAGACAAAGACAGAAATCGCGGTGTCGAATCCCCTTATTGGCATTCAACGTACCGGTCTTAATGATAAACACTCCAGTGAAATTATTGTCTGACGCAAGCCATCCGTGAGTAATAACTTTTAAGGGGTAATCATCAATCCAATAATCGAGTACACTTGATTCGTTACCAAATTTGATTTCTATTGATTTATTATTTCCAAGAATACTGTTTTAGATACATAAAAAGTCTATTATCAAAACATTGTAAAAAAATAAAATAAAAAATATAAAACATTGATTATAAATATATATTTTTTTTAATTGTACATATAAGGCAAAAAAGTCCATTGGGCTTAAGGAAAAATAATTATGTAATTACATATTAATTGTGTAGTTACTAAATCTAAGTGTTAATTATATTTTTGTTTGGAGGTTGGCAACTGTAATGAACAGGATGATATTTGGTATTGATTGAGTGTGATTGCTTAGTGTTTCTGGTAGTGATTTAGTACGGTTATGTCTTGTTCGGATATTGTAGTAAAATGTTTGGCATTCTGTGAGGATGTGGATGATGGTGACTTGGACACCGCATGATKGAAACATCATTTCTTTCTTGGCCATAAGGAAGCTGTAAAAAATTTGAGTGTTGCCGATTCTGAGTCTAGTTGTTATGACATCGAATTTTAATATTGTTTGCATTATGCACATTGCGATTACAATTGGACAACCGAATTTGAGGGCAATTAAAAACTTTTACATTTAATATTTGGAATTATCAC